TTGAGCGCCGCGAAGATGGCCTTGGGGTTCGGCGGAGCCCGCCTCGCCGACCCGGCCGGGGTAGTGGTGCCCGACGCCGGCATCGAAGTCAGCGATGCAACCTCCCAACATTCAGCTCGCGCCGCCAGAAGCGCCTTAGCCTTTGCCTTAGTAGCGGCGCCGATGAAGAAGTCCGCCGCCACCGGTGAAGATGCCGTCGAGGTATCCGTCGGTGTGGCCATAGGAATGGGCGCCAACTGATCGGGCGGGGTCGCCGCAACCGATGGTGCAATCTGGCGCCCCGCCGCAGTCGGTATCATCGGCTTGGGCGCCGCTGGCATGGCATCCATCCCTGGTACCGCCGCTTGAGGCAAAGCTGTAGGAGGTGTGGCGCCGCCTGCGGCTGTCGCCGCCACCAGGGGAGCTCCAAGCACCACGTCGTCGTCGGACTCCTCGCCGACCTCGGGAATGTGCTCCAAGAAAGCGGCGCCGCTCACTCCAGCCGCCGTGCTCTCCATCAACATGTTCGCCGCCTGGGCAGCGTCGTTGAGGTCGGCGATTGCGTCCGCCGTCATCTCCCCCAGGACGGGGGCCCAACCCATGCGCCGAGCGGCGCGCAGGACCGCGGTGAACTCCGCCGCGATGGTGATCGGGTCAGATGAGGCCATGATCGCCGAAGGCACGAAGCTAACTGAAAGGCTGAAAGCGCCGAGCTTGGACCAGAGTGCTAAGGCAGCTACGCCGTTGCGATTGTTACTTCGCACACACGTGTGCTACTCGACAAATGGATAGTACGGATACGTGAGTTTATAAACATATAGATATCTACGTCCACATTTGGATCTAGATACAAACACAGATTCAGACACAGAGTAAACAGAGACGTATGTTTAGATGTAAATGTAGATAGAGACTGCTCTTACAAACTTAGGCATATGTGCAGCATATGTAGAAACACACACGACAGATTGCATCTCATGCCGCACGTTGCTTCTTAAAGCCGGAGCCTTTCTTTGGCCAGCTCTGGCACCACATCCTCAACGAGTTGAATTAGCCTCGGCGACTCCGTCTGTGACAAAGAGCAAGGTGCAGGTACGGTGTACCAGCACCGGCATGACCTTTCAGGACCTGGCTCGTTTTTTGTGACTCGCCCTGAGCCATCCAGATCATAGCGCTTGAAAAAGGAGCGCAGTTCTTGCACCTGCACCAAAACACAGCCTAACTTCAGAAACTCAAAATTCAAGGATCACACGACTCGGGAATACTTCCTCGCTGCGTGTTCCGATCGCCTCCGGATCCGTCCAGCCACCGTTTCTCTTGATGGCCTGCAGGGGTTGGGAAACACACAACGTGATGCACAAAAAACATCTGGTAAACTGTGATTGGATCTGTAACTTCCGTTCAGAATGCATGCGTCAGATTGCATTCTGACGGACGACCTCGCGAGTCGCACGACAATGTTTCTGACATGCACCTGGCCGGCACGGAAAAGGAAGCTGAAACATCTGCACAGCACCACAAACTTGACTGAACAAGAAGCCGGCGAAACGCAAGAAGCCGTCCCGAGGCACCTCATCATGCACGTCTGACGACATCCTATGTGACCACATCTCTACACACATCTACATTCAAGCTTTCGCGAAGGTAAAGGAAGGGTCGTTTTTCTTTATGGGTGTTTTTTTGGTCTGTTTGCTTGGTTTTTCCATGTTTTTCCTAAGGAAAACACCATCTCCCCATGCCACCGTAGTACAACGTGCTTTCGACGTGCCCCGAACGATGTGTAAGGAAGCGTCATCGACAAAATATGGCCTTTGATGCCCCCACCTGTAAAGGCACTGAGTGGCACGAGCGTGTTTTCGACCTGCGCGTGGTTGTGTGGATCACTATGTAGTACTACTGCTACTGCTACTGCTACTGTTACTGCTACTGCTACTGCTACTTCTACTTCTACTTCTACTTCTACAACTACAACTACAACGACGACGACGACGACGACGACGACGACGACGACGACTACTACTACTACTACTACTCCTCACTCCTTCCTTCCTTCCTTCCTTCCTTCCTTCCTCCCTTCCTCCCTTCCTCTCAAAAATATAGAATATAAAAGTTTTCCTAGGAAAAGCCTACGACTTTGCCACGAAATCCGTCCAAATTGTAAGGAAAACTGTGTTTTCCCTAGGAAAACCAAGGAAAAGGACAAGAAAAAAAAAAAGAAGAAAAGACCCCAAACATAGGCCCTCCGTAAAGGAAGTGCAGGGGGCGGAAGCATGATTTGTGCTTGCAGACTCAAGGCCTCTCTCAGTGAGATGCACAGCTAAGACACCAGTCGAACCAGCGCCCGATCCACTGTTGCGAAACTTGAACCTCTGAAAGCCTCTAAGTCCCTGTGCCATCACCTTTCCCCTCAGATCCAAGATGCTACAACACCGATCCCGGGCAGCGGCAAGGGCATGTCCACATTGCGGAGGTACTCCTCACGCACGACGTCCAGCTCCGAGAACAGCAAAGGCTCCACACGGTAAGTGCAGCACCTTGTCTTCAAAGCCAAGACCTGCAAAGGCCTGCGCTTGCTCATGCAGCTCCTTTTCCCAGATCGGCGAAGCTTCAAGCAACCGTGGCCTGAACCGCTTCCGTCATCGTGATGACCTGATTCAGGTTTTCGCAATTTTCGCAACGACAGAAACACCCTTGTTTGAATATAACTTTCCAACGCTGCCTTCAAACTGCATGGATCGCGCTCATCAAAGGCCTCAGCATCGCTGCTGGCTTCACCCCGTTACGCAGTCAAGACACCCAGACTCAGCACGTGCCTGCTGAAAGCAGACCATGTCGCGCTCCTTCCATGCTTGCTTCAGTTCGATAGCTCTAGACTTCCTTGCTACAAACCCGACGGAGACATGCTTTGTCAAACCATCCTGCAGCATGCGGACCATCTTGCGGAACTGTCGCCTGAACACGCAGCACAGCCCTCTGCAAGTGCGAGCATCCCGCATATACCATGTAATGATACCATACAACATGCCCAGTAAGTGCAGCTCGGCTCTAGTCGATGAGAGTCGTCAACATCCACCTGTTGAGGGGAGTGCTGGCACGTCTGGGCTTGATCCCAGAATAGCCTGAACCCTGTTGCTGTCTAACACAGCGGCTTGCACTACCAGGTTTGTTTGTCAGCAACTGGACGGTCCTTGATTTAGCAGCGCCGGCATCGCAACCAAGCAAACAGAATGCAACATTGCGGCACCCTTCAAAAGGACCCGCCTGCCGCAGGACACTCTGCATGGCCTACCAGTGGAGCAAGCTAAACTTGAGTGAGGTCGCATCCGCATGTGCGCATGTTGTCCTTCCTTTCCTGCCGAATCACAAGCAGCGGTCGCCCTTTGCAACCCTCGTGTGCTGACGATACTACAGCCAGAAGCACAACTTGCGGGCCTCGAAGCTGACCTTGTACCCAAGGTCGCGAACGGCAGACGGCACCTGCCACAAACCGGTGGAGACTCCCCGAACGGGCCCAGTTTGAAGCTGAAACCCTCTAAACCCTAAACCCAGAAGGCCGTGAGATCGAAGCTAAAAACCCTGAATTCCCTCCGCCTCCAGGGAATTGAGCTCGCCCGAGCCGTCCTGGGAAGGCTGGGAAGCTTCGAGCTCCGAAAAAGTACCAAGGTTTTACGATTCAGGCGTTGGCTGTTGCTGCCCGACCCCGCAGCAAAATTGCTTCATTGCAAGCAAGCAAGCAAGCAAGCAAGCAAGCAAGCAAGCAAGCAAGCAAGCAAGCAAGCAAGCAAGCAAGCAAGCAAGCGGAGCCAAAACTGCACGACAAAGAAGTGAAGCACAACTGGCAACACTGCAAAACGTATCGATGTCCGTTCCCCGAGACGTCCACTCCTGGTCGTTCCTGCGGAAAGCTGCATCGATGCTCTGCAGCTCCTCGTTCCGCATGCCCTGCGGAACATCTCCAGATCAGGTACACTCGAACTGACGATCTCTGACTCTATGCTCAGAGCCCTGGATTCAGAGTGGGACTGCTTAAGAGCCCCACTGCAGTAGACGGACTGCAAAATATTGCGATGCCATTCGGCCTCTCGCTGGCGGTAGACCAGCAAAAGCCGCCAGAGAGCACTCAAGTCCAGCCTGAATCTGATCGCTTCCGCTTCGCTCCGATTTCGACGATTGCCCATTGCCCTCAAGTCGCACCCGAGCCCGAGCCGGCGACGTGCTCATTCCCCGAAGCCCAGCTTCCGATGCAGCCTCTGAGGCATCATGACAAAGTTGAAGAAGTTGCTTGATAGCTTCAGCCAAGATGTAATCCGATTGCGCCAGGTCACCTCGCTAATGGCCTGATTGTCCCACATGTCGTACCCCAGCTGCTTCAGAACGACCGGGACATCCTCAGGATGGCAGCCATGCAAAACAGTTTCCTTGAAAAAGTGGTCCATGGAAGCGTATATGCAGGAAGAGTCACGGACTGCTGCAGGCAGATGGTGCCATTGGTATTCTGCCCCGAAATGGTGGCCAACACTCGACGGACCTTGCGCGGAAACGGCGCAAGCGCCTAGGAATCAGAGCCTCAGCACAGGAGCCTTCTGCAGCTCGTGCTCTCGCACCTTGCGGAGGCCTCAGTCTGCAGGGCCCTGCTCGTTTGTAGCTGCTACAGTATGCCTTGAAATGGCAATCAAGACGGCCACGCGCTCTATAGCTGACAACTGCGAAGGTTACTGCTAGAGCGGCTGGCAAGGATGGAGTTACGTCGGAAGGTTTTGCACTGCACAAGTTGGAATGGATGATGTTGCGAATGCTGCAGCAGTTGCCGTCTTTCCCTCGAGTGCACATTTGCAAGCAAGGGCACACCTCAAGTACTCGCGGTGGTTCATCACACCCGTCAGCTTGACGTTTGAATCCTTCATAATCGGCAGCAGATCCTCCACTGTCATAGCATAGCCCAACCTGCAGACTGACATCAGTGAATGTCAACAGAATGTTTGTTTGACGAGAAGTCCGCACCACTGAAACCGCAGTTTAGCTGCCAATTCAAGACGGCATGGAACTCCTGCGCATCGATCTTGCCGCAATTGTCCCTGTCAAACCTTGCCTGCATGTTGGAAACAATGGACTCAAGTCTTCGTGAGAAAACTGGGATCGGTGAGATGTGAGCTCATTACAGCCATGCTGCAAACATCTCCATGAACTGGTCGTACTCGCTGCTAGTGAAGCCCTCCCGAAGGATGAGCAAGTCCATAAGGTGCTTGAACTCCTCGTAGACCAGCTCCCCGTGTCCTGCCTGGCACCCGGTTGGACACTTATCACTTATCTAGCCTGCCACCTTTTTTCTGCCAACATCGATACCAAAAGGTTCAGCGATGTTTGCGCGCGACTTTGGCTGGCCTCGTCCACCTCTCGAATGACTTCATCCAGCACATGAGTCCTGGGTCGCGGTGCTGCGGAGTACGCAAATGGAGCGCAGCATGGAATGTCCAGATGTGTGCCAGTTCCCGAGATCTTGGCATAGGCTCAATGTGCAATTTCTCGAGAACCTGAGTTCCGCATGAATCTGAAGAATCTGCATAAAGGCTATCAGCCGCCGTGTTAGAGGCTGGCTTCTCTGCCCTTGAACCTCCCTGAAGTGAGCTAGCTGATACTGGCGGCATGTAACTCTTCGGGTCCTGGAACCAGTCGAGAACTCCTGAAATTCAAAGCGAGTCGCCTCTGCCAGCTCGGCAGACTCCACGGTGCCGGACTGATCGAGATCTGCCTCCAGGAAGGCATCCTGAAAAGAAGCCGCGATGTTGAGTCTTTGCGGCTCAGGGGTGATTGGAGTTGATGTCTTCTTGTGTCAATTTGTGAGAAGTCTCGTCCTGCGCGGCACTGACAGACAGCCGAGCACAGGTTTATCACATCCACTGCTCGGGAAATCGAACCCTTTCTCTTACTCATTCCGATCCAGGCAAGAGCTCTGACTCACTGTCCTTGTGAGCCTTCTCTTGGAGGACCTCGTAGCCTTTCACGAACTCGAGGAACTCTTCCAGCTCCATAGTGGCAGACTTGGTCACCTTGTCCTTGTCATTGAATTTGGGGGAGCCTAGCCCTGTCGGTCATTGACATGACAGCATCCCTGAAGTGCAGAGCAAGGAGCACGCTCTGACTGAACCCATTCCTTCTTGATACCGACGAAGCCACAGAGCTCCAAGCCGCGAGGCAGCTCGTCGCAGAACACTTGTCCTTGCTCTTGCAGCTTTCCGAAGACTTCAGCCTAGCAAGAGTCAGAGAAAGAAGGAGCAAGCAAGCTTTGAAAGGCATGTGCGGAAGTGTCAGGCAGGTGGCCCGCACATGATCCTTCGTGATCATGGAAGCTCTAGCTGTCGATTGCGCTGCTGGTGGCCTTAGCTGCACTACCCGGCTGTCAAAGGTATGGCATCGGCTCAGACAGTGCAAAGCTTTTGGCCTGCAGTGCACCTCCCCTGACATGATTCAGAAAGCTCGAGCTCAAACTCCATTTGTGGACAACCGCTAGTTTTGGACAACCACTACCCAATCATTTGCTCAGGTTTAAGTCCCCTTGAAGAGGTTTGAGGGGCGAGCCCATCCAGGCCGCTGCCTCAGTGAGACTTTGACGTTGAGATTTTGGACTTCTCTCGCAGCCGATAACAATGCCAACTGCAGGAAGGGCACTCAGCCGAGTGCTGTCGTCCTTCAAGGGGCCGCCTCTCGTGCCTTACGCGAGGCCGTGATCGAGAAGGATCTAGGAAAAAGAGGCGCACATGGACGTTCTGGTTGGCTCAGAGGCAAGATGGGGGTTTCCGAAAATAGGAGAACCTAATATAGTACCCTAAATAGTAGGATCCTTATTCTAAGGACACCAAAATAAGGTACCCCTTATTTTCGGAAACTCCCGGATCAATCCAAGCGTCCTGAGCTGGACCCGGGCGGCTGGAAGGAGCCGCTAGGACTCAGCAGGCCCAGGCCGTCCGGAGCTCCTCCATGGCCTCCATAATGGCCTGAACGGTTTAGGGTTTAGGGTTTAGGGTTTAGGGTTTAGGGTTGAACACTTCCAGAGACAGGGCCAAGGAAGACTGATTTCGACAGACTGCTGGCACACCTACCTCCTTAACTGTTGCTCCACAGACCCTTGCTATCAAAAAAAGTTTCACAGCCCTCCCGATCCCAGATCATTTCGTGCACCAGACCTGCTTCTGAGTGATGTGGCACCGCAGACACGGACACGAAAGAATGGCCAGCGGCTTCGACGCCTGGACACTCGCCGAACTGCCAGCACCCTTAACTGGAAGAGCCTGCGCCTGCGACGGGAGGAAGCGGGCGGTCGTCCTCAATGTTCTCCCCGACCTTGGACGAGTGCATGCGAGTACCACGGGCGGGCTCCTCCAAAGCAGGCTGAGCTCGAAACCTCGGATGCGCTGCCATCGCGGCCTTTAAGGCGCGGATAGCTCCATGAGACCTGCAGAAAACACCGAAAAGTCTGCGATGTGCCTGAGCAGCACGGCGCCTCCGGCTCCGCAAGCACACTCCGCCTGCGGCAACGACATTACGTTACTGTACTACATTATATATATATATATATATATACATATATATATATATATATATCTCTCTATCTATCTATCTATCTATCTATCTATCTATCTGTCTATAGTCTATATATCTATTTATATATATATCTATCTATCT